GCCTTTGAGTGACTTTCTGCTTTTTTGCGACAACACGCGTCGGAGAGAACGCAGCTTTTGTGATGTGTAAAGAGAAAATGATACAAAACGAAGAAGAGGCTAAAAATATCTGTAACATTTTATGCGATTTCTAGATACAAAGAAAGTATGAGATAATTCATGTTTTTTAAAGTCACTTGTTTTATCTCGAAACCCGAAAGTTCTTCGCATGATGATAAGTCCGAAATTCTTGTCGCGTGACGACGCGAATCTTCTGCATACTGATTATATACTCTTTCAAAGAGCGAAACCATGTGACTTTAACACCGTATAAATTCACAGCGGTGACTATTATACGTATGTAACGTCGAGCGATTCGACGATGTTACGCGTCTCGATTACGATAACGCATCTTTTGCGGGACGTGCGTTTGATGCTCAAGTCGCAGCGCGTTTACAAATTTCAACAGCTATTCTCTCGCTACAATTTTTTTGTCGATCTACGTGTCAGATAAATGTTACGTCGCCAGCTCTCAAAAAGATTCCTGATAAACAATAGACGATAAACAATCGATAACAATCTTATTCGGAAGGTTTTAATTCAAACAAGTAATATTAAACAGACGTGTAACGCGGTGTATTAGATATAGATCTCTGTATGTACAGAAAAACAGTATTTTTTAATAACTAGTTTTTTTCATAAATATACGACATTTCTCTGTGTTAATAATTTCTGACAATTATGACAAAAGCAACAGATGCTTTTGAAAGAAGAATTTATATTCAGTGAACACGCGCGGATATATCCATGCTATCTCGTACTGTACGTGTACGTAGATATAATCACGAAATCGTAAATATCGCGTGGAATGTTTCGAGTCGTGTCGAATTACTGAACATCTTTCTTATTCAATTTATAATGTCGTATGTGTCGTAAAGTTATGGTCTTTCTCACACATACAATCATTTATCTATAACTTACGATTGACAGTTCTACAGTCGCATAATTTCATAAATACACATATATTTGTTGTAAATAGCGCGAAAAACTAACTTTTGAAGCTAAATTATAAGCAATATTGAGTGTGCGCGTGCGCGTGAAAGTAGTAAACATTTTTTTGTTTGTGGCGTGCACATAATTACCAATTATCGTCTGAGCATGCGAAAAAATCAACACATTTGTAGCGAAAATTATATCTTTGACGAGAGAAAAGAACTGCGTTTCTCGCAAACCAAAACTGGAAATCTGATTCTATGTCAAACGCGTTAAAATCGTAAAAATACACGAACAATAAACCAAGAACTAGCTCGGCCGCTACCGGAATGTTAATACACGTGGCCTTCTTTATGCTTGTTTACGTTGCTCGGAGAAAAAGATTTTGTAATAAAATTTTGCAATAAACAAGGTAGAAAAGTGTGTATGTGGAACATTCCACTATACAGAGTGTGCAGTAATATGCGTTCATATTCCGTTTCAGAAGTAAATATACATACGCACGTATACACGCGTTCACATGTTTATCTTTCTGATAAACTCACATAATTAATAAATATAATATATTTATCCTTTTTAATGTGCAATAAAATCTTTTTCAAACTGCACAAGGTAAAGCAAAAATTACGGGAGAATACATGCGCGAGGTGATAATGTTCGTGACTCGACCGACAGTAATTAATAGTTTTTCCCATTTTACGTGTCTCTGGCGTAGGAGTTATCTCCACGCTAAAATCGCTAAAAGCAACCAGCCATCCGATTCCATTAGAAGGTAAAATTCCATTCTGAGCTATTAACTTCGCGTCGATTCCTCGAGCAAAGCGATAGATTGTTCGACCGCCACAAGCGGCGAGATCTCATCGACGAGTCGAAGCGAATAAAGGGAGAAACGAAAAAAATCGCCACCGACACATACTGAGACACATCGATTGTGTAATAGCGCGCGTTAATTGCCGCCAGTCGAACCGGAGAATCTAGAATTTTTTCGTCGATTATAGCCGCTGCGTTGATTAATCGAACGTCGGTTAGATATCGCGTGCGTGCACCGCGTCGATCGAGTCACGAACATCAACATCGCTGAATTAGAAAACAAGGTTATTGTGTGTTGTAAGTATAAATGCACGATTATTTTTATCGTAAGGTTCAGTCTCATCTTAGATTAAAACGTTAAACATAAAAAAAATGGTAATATTTGTTTTGAGGAACCAGGAAATTGATAGAAAAAGAAGATATTCGCAAAAGCGCCAAGTTTGGAAGCCCGAGGTACCGTAAGACGCCTCGGAATCGTTTCACCGGATCAAAATTTAAGGTACGTCCCGACCGCGCGTCTCGAGCCCTCTCACCCCAAGAAATTATTTCTCGAAGGCACTTACGAAGGCGCTCACGAAGAAGTAATCGGACTCTGAAAATACCAAGCTGCACGCCGATAATGGCCGGTCACGAGTGAGCATTGCCTAAGGGTCTCTTTAGTCAAGAACAAGAACGTACGTACGCGCGTAATAAGACCGATTTCTTTTGTTAATCGTATTCCGTACGAATATACAATCGTCGAGATAGGACTGTATATTCTCTCGCAGTTTGCTCGCTGAAATTAGATCTTATGATATACGAACGAATCGGGAAATAACTCTCTGAAAACTCTAAAGATTATAGATCTTTTTCTTCTTGTTCTTTTTCTTTAGGATACAAAATTCAAGAAGAAAATCAACTGTACATACTATGTATAATTGTATAAACTGTATATACTGTACTATTAGATAGGAAATGAGATATGTAGTTGATTACATTGACCGGCGAATTAATTGCATATTATATGTATATATATATATTTTTTTTTTTCTTTTTACTTTCTATCGCGATCAACAAAACGTAAACTCACTGGGAGAATACAACGGCCATCGGCAAAGAAACATTGCGTCGCGTATGCATACGTTATTTGCGGTCATACCGAAGAGAAACAAAGAAGAACAATCCGCGCGAAAGGAAGAAGCGAGACAAGGAGAATAAACCGATACAGAGATACCGCATCCATGCGAAAGCCGACAGGCCAACAACTCTCGGAGGGGGCCTTCTCTTCTCTCGTAAGGGTGCTGGAGAAAGAGATGGCTGGAATGTACCGAGAACAGGTCGCAAGGCTGCCGACATTCCAAAATTTGCAACGGCACGAGGACCGAAAAAAAGCAGTTGTGTATTGGCAAGCAAACAAAATTTTCAAACAACCTCGCTTCAATCCTCAAAATATACATAATATATCGAGAGAAAATCATAATGAAACGAAATAATTTTCCTGAAGAGGAAAAATATCTCATTTATGCAAATTATAAACTACAAATTTTTAAAACCGTAGAGAGATGTGTATCTTCTTGTGTTTTTATATTTAAAATCATAATTCCGTTCAAATAACGGAACTGCCGTACGATTGCAATTTTCGTTAAAAGATAGCACAATTAAATCCGACAATTAATGAAGCCTTAAAACGAACGGTAAAGTGACGACCGCAGTATAAAAAGGTGCATGAATTTCGAATGCAGAAAAAAATATTATTATTTACAAAGTGACAACGATTCCGCTATCACGTTTTCCTCTTTCGACGCTCGGTATTGTGTATACGTATGTACGTACATATGTATTTGGTAGTGCGAAATGGATTTTCTTTAACGTTCTTATCTCCTTCTTCCACCATGATTTTTACGGGTCCGTTTACTCATCGGCGAGGATTCCGTCGTAAATAAAACTCGTACAAAACGAAAAAAAAAACAGAACTATAAAGATTCCTTTCTCGTTCTGATGCATGTTCGAACGCGTGCACCGGAAGTATTTATGTCTTCGATCGTGACACACCTTTGTAAACTTCACACTCGGATCGCAAAGTTTCAGAAAAGTTAGTATCTTAAATGTTCAACTCACGTAAAAAGATATAGAAGTCCCATACGAAAGTGTGTACTCGAAATATTTCTTTTAACGCACCAGATGTTATAAATACGTCTCGTGCTCTCGAGACGTGTCTTCAAATTGCCACGTAATTGTTGCTCGTTATATGCGTATTATTATCTGTCGTAAAAAAACACGCGTACACAAAGCAGCGCGAGATCGAAAGCGGTCTAAACTGCGATAAAAAAAAAGCTTGCCGCACGGCAAGCAACTGCGCAGCATGACTCTCAACAAAGTCCGTCGAGCAGTAATATTCATCCTACATGCAAACTTATGCGGGATCTCATTGTCTCGCGATTCTGAAATTGCTATTTTCTGTGTATCGTTCTCTCTCTCTCTCTCTCTCTCTCTTGCTTGTCTCAACCTTTATGTGCGCGATATTCCGTGTGTAAATTACGTAATAATCTAACATGACGCGGCGAGAATATCAAATAGCGTCGAACGAGTGCTCTCGTTTTCATTTATATCGATTTAGAAAGATATCGATGCAATAGATACACAAAGTTAACGAACCGTGTTTATCGCAATTGCGACCGAGCCGGAAGATCGGATGCTTTGAAAGACGAACGCGAAAATGAACAAAACAACGCCGCTCATCGTGTGTTTGCGGAGCAATTTGCAAACGAGAACGCGATAGATCTTACGTAACGTCGATATCCTGTCAAGATCTTCGTCACTTCTCTCTTTCTCGTTCCCGATCTCGGAAAAAAAGTTTGTAAACAAGTGAGAAGAACTGAGATCGGGCACTCGAATATTATAAACAGAAAGCTTATACATAAAACGATATACTCGCGTGATTATTAGTATTCAACATTTTTTCGTTAAATAAACGTCACATATTTATATAAGCAGCAAAAAAACGATAAAGAAAAAGAGAGATTCGTTGATTGATTTAAGTCTCCTCAAGCGCAACGTAATCAAAATATAACAATGTAAGCAATGTGGGAAATAGTATATCAGAGAAAAATAAAAACTGAGAGAAAGAGAAAGAGAGAGGAAAACGTGAGCGCGGTGGCGCAGGAGGAGCAGTCGAAAAGAGAGAGGAAGAAGGTCACGCCGAGGACGGAGATAGAAAGAGTCCATCAAGCAAAACTCACCCTGTTGCATTCCAGAGCCTCCGCGCTGTGCTCCTCCTTCTGCTTGAAGCAGCTGCTGCACTTGCTCTTGTTAAATATGTTCGGTGCAAACTTCCTGCACTCGGCGCCGGTGCCGCGGACGCCGCCCGCCGTGCCACCCGACATCGCGACACGTGCGAATTACCCGCGATCGGAGCGGAGGTGCAGCATCGCCTTCCTCCCTCCGGTCCTGTCTGTAGTTTTCCTCGCTTGCGCTACCACACTGATCCTTTTTCTACTCCGATTCTTTCAGGAAGTTTACTCGCGCACAAGTGTCACTCCGCGCGTATCCCTCTTGGTCTTTGCGGAACTCTATAATCTCATCGATATGGAACGTCGACGAGCTCTCGTGATGATAACGCACGCACCCCTCTCTCTCTCTCTCTCTCTCTCTCTCTCTCTCTCTCTCTCTTTCTCTCCCGATAGAAACTTCTTTACGTGAACGCCGGTCGTTGACGTCTGCCGTACCGGTAATCTTCCGTGAGATTTACCACCAGCTGTTGGTCGACGGAAATCCGCAACGCAAGTAACGTCACTTCTATTCTAGATTATATTCGAAGTTCGTGACGCTCCGAAAATCGCTCGCGGCGAGATACACACGACCCTTTTGCTTCGCACCTTCGAATTTCACAGTCAGAAAAAACCGCGATTTGTTTTCATCGCGACCTGCGTTTACCGTTGTTCGGACTTTCGCGCACGATGAAGAGTTTTTAAACTCGCGGAACGATGTTTTGATTTTCCGATCTGATCAACGTAATCGAGAAACAAAAACGGATTCTCGCTATCTCGCTGGATGTACAACGAGACAGCGTTACGTCGCGCGTTACGTCGCCTTGCGTGTTTACGATCACGCGTGCGAGTTAAACACACCCGCGCGTACAACACACTCCTCTTCGACTGTCAGTGCGATCCGGCCGAAACATTCGCTTTACCTTCCCCCTCCCACTGGCAGAGAGCAGAGTATACTCACACACTTACTTAGAGAGTTCTTGCGTGTTTCCCCCTTCGATCGACGCGGCCACGACCTCGTCTCTTCGCTCCACTCCGCCGCTTGACAATCCCCCGGTGTTGGAGGAGCACGTGGATTACGCCGTCACTCCAAATCCGTTTCTCGACCGCCGAGTGTCACAGACTCCGATTGTCGTCGTCGCGTCGCGGATTCGGGAACATGTCACTCGTCGCGCGCCCGACGACAGCGCACGTGCGCTATGTCACGTAACTAGCGTAACGAGATCGAGATCTCGAAGCAGCACACTTCAGATCTCACAAAATACCGACGACGTCCGCGATTATTGGCAGAGGCTTATGTCTCTTGATTCGCCGAAACGTACATTGCAGTAGCGCACGCGGCGATCACTGTTGCTCGTATGTTCTAATCGAATGTCATCGCGAGAGAAGAAAATCCGGCAATGGATCCGGCGCAATCCTAATCTCGAACAGGAACGTGAGCGCGACAACAGCGATGACACGGCACACGACACGGGCGTACTTACTACGACGGCAGAACGCGCCGTGCTGTCCATGACAGTACACTCGCACGTCCATCCATCTGCGTTCCGACCCCGTTTAAACTGTATCTGCGCGCTCCGAACAGCGCTCTAGACACCTCTCGCCCGGTCGACCGCGGAACACACTATGCGCGGACATTACGCGCAATCCCGAATGTAGTCCCCCGCGCGACGCGCGCGCCCGCCTTGCTCGCAGAGTCGACCGAACTTGTACGAACTTAACCGACGTTCCGCGCATCATGTATCTCCATTCGGCAGCTGAAAATTTCGGAATTGGACGCCATTTTATATTTGTCGTCGGAAAACCAAATTTATGTGTGCAATTTTATTGCACTTTCCACATTTTGCGTTTCTTTCCTCTTTTTTGCTTTTTTTTTTTTGGAAAATACAATATACAAGTTAAATTGGAACTGAGCCAAATTAATTAATTTTGACAACGTAAATGTAGCAAAAGATGTGAAAAATGTTTTCACAGCGCGTTAATAAAATTATTCAGAAACAAACTTATGAATCTACTTTGAAATGTAAATGTTAACATATTTGTATGATTCAGTTTTAACATGGAAATGATTACACGGAAATGATCTGCTTACTTTTTCTGGAAATGTTCGAAGCGAAGAATTTGCAAGAAGAAACGCAAACTTCCGTCTTGTGGATAGTAGAAACGGAACTGAAGTGAGTGTAGAAGAAAATTTAAAATATAAAGCTGTACTACTGGGGTCAAACGAGAAACGCGCGCGCGGGCGCGCTATCAGCTGATTTTTGCGTCGGTTCGGCGAGTCATGCTTTTTCTTCCGGTCCATGTAGACCGCTGTTTCAGTATCTGCGGGATCCACGGTGAAGATGGTAGATGAAACTGTTGACAGGTTCGTAGGGCAAATTAGTCTCCGTGTTGTCCATGAAACTCGACTTGTAAATGCGGACAACGTCGTCGAAACGCGTTTTTGCGAGGCGGTGGAAATCGCCATTGAGACGACGATAACCTCAAATTTGCTTTTGTTACTTAGCGGATTTATTTTTCATAATAAATTTTCACGTGCCTGATTCCGAGTGTTTTACTGTGCAATAAATGTTTCAGTTTATGACTGTAAAATGTCGGAAACAATTTTACGAGACAAAACAGGAAATAAGTTTAGTCGAGACGTTATTTCGTACTACGTTAAAACTACTATCAATTGTTGTTACTTTCACTTCGTTGTTCTTTCTCAAACTGTTAATACTTATATATTTCGTTGTGTTGATATAACAATTGATCTCTGTCAATTGCAATATCATGAGAAAATTTATCACTTTAGTTTTAATTTCAATAATTTCTTTAAAACTTGTATGTATGCAACCAAAACAAACCTTACATTGATTAGCTGTAATCGCTGTCTTACATAACGTGTGAAACATTGATATTCCGGTAAAGATTGTGATTTTTAATGTTTGTTGTAAAACCACTTAATAACATATATAAATATTACATGTAAATCAAGTTAAAATTAAAAAATAAACCTAACCTTTTAATCGTTTTATAAAAAAATATTTACAGCATACATTCTTAGAGTAAAATGTAGTTTAGGACTATAAATATAACTTTGTCATATACTGATGTAAATTCTGCGCATGTTGCATACACATACTTGTGTTGCAAAATATGATGTTTAAGTGTAAAAATACAGAAGCTTAATGTTAAATTTATTAATAATTTGCTTGTTTTTTCTCTTTTTTTTTTTTTATAGAGATGAATCTTCTAATGTCGCCATTATTAGAGAGGTGTATGATAGCGAGAATGCACACGAAACATTTGAATACGAGTTAGAAAGAGCGTTAGAGTCAGAATGCAGTTTAATTGTCATCGAACCATCAAAATTGGGTGACGAAACCTCTAGATGGATAGCGGTAGGAAATTGTCTTCACAAGACTGCTGCATTGTCAGGTCTTGGTGCAATTATTACAGGTTTGCAGAACTTATATAGTTCCAACTTTTGTTGTTCACATTTATATTAATTAATATACTATAATGTTTTTTTTTAGGATTAATCTGGGGTGATCGGCCATATATCTGTGGTCCACTAGGTTTTACAGCAGTTATAACCTGTGGCTTATACACAGTTTCTTGGCAATTTGATCCCTGCTGTCAGTATCAAGTAGAAACTGACACCAGCAAATTACCACATGTAGAGCTATTAGCTGTTCTAGGTCCATCGTCTCCGACATTTCTTGTAAGAAAAGATGATAGAAGGAGACGAATTCTTCACACCACTATTACATTGGCAGCACTCAGCATTACCGCTTGGAGAGTATACCAGGCGTTCAAGTGAGAAAGTTATCACTGGCATTGGTTATACATTATGCCAGAGAAAACAATAAGGTAAGCTACATGATTCTTCAATAGCTTTAGAAAACATTCTAATTTTAGGAAATATATACATTTATCAATTTGTAATCTATATCATTAAGTATTTTTCGTAGTTTATGACAATTAAAGTGTTTTTTAATGCTATCTCGTAGGTGAATATTGATTATGTGATCTGATTAAATCGCATAAACGCAATTAACGGGAAAGCCAGGTTTTATAATCTTGATTACATTGGCATGTCATTTCCTTACGATTTTACACTGTCATTCCTTGGTTGCCACCTAGGCTAAATTATACAGAGATTACAAAATCGCCAACACATCGTATGCATACAATGGAGATAAAAAACAATATTTGACATAAGTGTTCTTAGAATTATGAAATTTACAATATATTTAGCAATGTGTAATTTTTAGATTGTAAATAAAATATACATAGGTAGAGAAAGAATATAATACATATGGAATGTCAAGGGTTATATTATCTAGATTTTCTTACCCAGCAGAACAATTTATATACATATATTTATATATATATATGTATAAATAACAATATTGAAATAATACATTAACTGAAAAAAACCCAATTGATATAACTTTATAAACATTGATTATTTTATATATTAACCGTACATATATATATATATAATATTCTATATATATATATAGAATAAGATATTTTTTTCATTACAAATGCGCGTACAAAAAACTTTATCGTTTGCAGTAGTCTCAAAGAAAAAGTCGATGTTGCAAACATTCCTGTAAATGTTTAATTATAATAAAAACCAATCTCTTGTACATTGCAACTTGCGAGATCTTTAAATGACAAAAGATTCATGGGTATATAGACGAAATGTATATTGTCTTAAGAGCTCAAAATGTGGAAAGTGTACATAGTGTCCTTAACATTGCTGCAAAAATCACGCAGGTCAAATTTAGTATGATAAACAAGTTTTAGAATATCATTATATTGTTATGTACCGAATATAAAGCACAAAGAGAAACGAAAGTTGTAAGATTAATATTTGAAAATTTATTTGGATGTATACACATTAAATGCAGAAATCTCTGTTGAAGGCTCTCTCTTTGTTTTTACAAAATACATTAAAATTCATCACCTTATAAGAAATATAAAACTAATTTTAATTACATTGAATAGAATGATAAACATATAGATGTGCTATCCATTACTTGAAAGTTATACACTTAATATATGTATGTTTTTAAATATTTCAATCTTCGTGAGAATTATATTTTATATTGTTACATAAAGAATAATAAATAGCGAAATATTAATTACATTTGTGTAATTTGTGTTATTAAGATTTTTTCTATAGTTTAATATCAAGAGATGGATAGCACATTTGCCATTTAAGCATTTCAATGTGAGTTTTGGTTACATTTTTATAGCATAATAAAATGTATATAATGTAAAGATATTCCACTTTAGTCAGAGAGTGACTACAACAAAAATAAAATATACTTTTGAATAGTGTATTTAATTTAACTGTTATTTCCTCTTACAATAATCATTAAAATATAAACTTTAAAGTGCATAATTTATGTATATATTTTATAATAATATTTTTTTTACATGTTTTTTATGTTATATATAAATATACGAACATTATAACATCCAAACAATTACATATCAGTATATGTACAAACAAAATATTTGTCAATAAGTTATTAGAGAGATTGAATGTTACATTCATACATGTTACATCTGAATCATCATTTACTGAGAATGCTCTTTTGCTCCTTTTTTTGCACGCTGTTTCATTATATAAAAATATACAGAAGGAAACAATGTTCTAAGTACTATTGCAGCCTTTGAAGTAAATGGTGCAATAGTAATTTCCTTCTCTTGTTCTAGAACAGATCTTAAAATACATTCAGCTACATATTCAGGTTCATACCCATTTTCTGTTGTTGCATCCATTACTACGATAAAATAATAATAGTGTTACAATTATAAATATACTACATATTTATAAAAATACAAAATTTAACAAGTCTATCATGTTTATACTAACCTCCATAAACTTGTCCACCCCCTGTCAGAGCATTATAAGACAAAGAAGTTTTAATGTATCCTGGATTAACAACAGTAAAATAAATATTTTTATCATGTAGTTCCGCTCTAGCACNATCATACCAAGCTTGTAATGCATGCTTGGATGCAGCATATGCAGATCTAAAAATTTACAACTATATAACAACACAATTTATGTTAAAATGTTTCCATATTAATTCAAATTCTTACCTATAAGGAATAGCAATTCTTCCTTGCACACTACTTATGCTAACTATGTGACCAGAGTTTTGTTTGATCATATATGGAAGAACAACTATAAATCAATGTATGTATTAGTAACATAAGTCACATATATTGCAACATTTAACTAGACATACTTACTATTGTTCAAAGCAAGTTGAGAGAAATAATTTACAAACATGAGTTTTTTGTGTACTTCAATATCTGTATCGGAAACTGTCCCTCTGTGTGAAACTCCAGCATTATTTATTAGAATATCAATTCTGTCATATACATTTATAATTTTTGTGACTTTATCTCTTAGGCTTTCATTTTCAGTTAAATCTAACGACAGTATAATAGGTACATGAGTAACAGCTGCCTAAAATTTGTAGAATGCAAATAATGAATACCATCTTGCATACTTTGTCTAAAAATAACTTCTAAGCAACTTACACTGATATCTGTCAAATCTTTCTTCACTCTCTCTAGCTCCTCTTTTCTACGAGCTACCAGGATAATTTTACAGCCACATCTATAAAATGTGTGAGCCAGAGCTTCCCCTAGACCAGAACTAGCTCCAGTTATCATTACCACCTAAATTAAATAAAAAAGCACATATATCTGCATATATCTATCATATTTATTTATTAAATATTTATATAAAGTACACACATACAAAAATAAGAATTTTCTATAACCTTATACCAAACATTTTTTAAAGAAAATATAACACATGTTACCTTGTTGTTAAGAGCAGCACGTTTCTCTTTTTCTCGCATGGTACGAATAAACTCATATATAAAATAAGGAATGCTAATTGGAAGACCAATTAAAGTAATCAACCAAAACACTAGTGATAACCGACCTTCCTTTATGGAAATCATAATAACTTTAGGCTAATTATACTGGGCAAGAGTAGATACTTATGTATGTATTACTTGCTGAAAGCCTGATCCCAGAATGAAAGATAAAAAGAGAATCTTTGTATGTATTTTGTTACTCGCGTTATCAGACATACATACAACCTTTAAAACGTATCACAAAAAATAAACACATCAAAACTTTTATTGTTATCTTACGCTTTATTTGCACTTTTTACACTTTACTAGCACAACACAAGCGCGCGCTACGCGCACGCTATTATTATTATTTTCATTTTCATGTGTTGCATCAGTGAACACAACCAGTCACCGCGATGACAGCTAATATATACATCTTATAAACTATGTAATACACTTACGAGAGATGTCAAAAATAACACATGAAAATCAAACTCAAAAAATAAAAGAAAGAGAGAAGAATGGAAAAACAACACGTGACAAAGAAAAGAGTAAAAAAGAAAATATATATTATACATATACATATATTATATATAATATACACACACACACATATATATGTATATATACCGTAATCACGTGACCGAAGTCAGTGACCTCGCCCAGGTCGCGCGGCCAAGGTCAGTGACCCCCCTCCCACCAAGGCCGCGCGGCTGAGGTCAGTGCCCCGCCAAGACCGCGCGGCCGAGGTCAGTGACCGCCAGTCACGTTATTTTCACGTGTTGTTTTCTACTCTTTCCTGTCACGTGACTTTAGTTACGTTTTTAATTTTTTCTACATATACGACGAACTGTTTCAAAATCGCTTTTCATTATTTACTCTCTCGATCTTACCGATTCGATACGACTCGATCAACCAACCGACCAATCGGCAACGCAAAAAAGAGGCAACAATAGGTGCAATATATTCGACTCCAAACGCGCACTTCTTGTATTTTCTAGTTTCCATAGTAATTATATCTTTATTGATTTCCTCTTTTTCAAAACTTATGGTTATTTTCTCGATTCGGACATTTGTTCGATTATGCTGTGCTGGCATCACAAACACTTTCAAACGCGAAAATCGCAGTCGAACAGTATCGCACGATATGGACATAGCACGGAATAAAACCATTTTCACTTTTGGACATAGTGTTCGCATCGACTAGTTCGCTCGTGGACATGGCTACGTAGTTGACAATGTATACTACCTATGGACGTAGCGCTGGTTTACAGTGTAGAAATGGTAGATTTTCATGCTTTCTAATAATTTCCCTGGCCGTTTTTCTCTGGTGACGGTAAAAATGCCACTAGTAAAAAACATAATTTGCGATTAAAATACAAAAGCAGATAAAATATATAATTACGAAAATCTCAACTAGACATTATTTACATAAGTTGGTACATATAATATTTATGCACTAAGTAGTTCCGTAATCAATAATTATCCAGAAGTTTTATCTGTATTTGGTCAATTAATCGCACAAGTTCAGGTAACATCCGATATGGGGCACCACACTCCGTAAATAACCTTGCAGCATATTGGTTTCAGTTTCACACAATCTCAGCGTACCATTGATCTCTTTTTTTGCAAGTAAAATCCGAATTATTTCAAGAATTGACTTGTATAATCACGTTGGTACGCTAAATCCTTAAATTGTAATATAAGACAATTTGTTTTTGTGAAACTATAAAAATGGAAATAACGTATATGTACGCGTGTAAAATTGTGTCAGTATCCAAATGAGGATCACACGTAGAACAAAAAAGACTTGTATCGTATTCATTGACTGCACAAAAGTTCGTCTAATAAATATTGTGACGTGAAAGACAGACGCGTATTACGCAAACATTTGTGCAAACGCGCGACTGCTGCTCGTGCTGCTGCCTCGCCAGTGAAATCGTAAGAATGGATATCCAACTTAACCTAGAGAACTTTACTTGAGGTGAAACTAGGTTTCCTCAAGTGTCACATCGTGCACATCATACATTGCATATAATACGTTTTGTTCACAGTGATGATATATAAATAAACAAGCGACATGGAGGCTCATGAGAGCGAGCAGTATGTAACATTTTCTCTTGATGGTGTACATGACACAGTACAGGAGAACATAATATCTCATGAAGAAATATGCGAACCCGTTGAATGTGTTCTCCAGGATGAACTTACTAATGCTGTCAGTACTGACATGGAGACACAGGAGGATGCTGACAAGATTCTTAGGGAACAGTCGGATGAGGAAGATGAGAATACAGTAGAGTATCCAATATATATTAAGGAAGAGGAACAACAGCAGTATATGTCAGGTGATGATGAGTCCATGGCTGTGGAAGCCCTGCGCCAGTTAGGTGGTATGTATCCAAGCTTTGAAGGTAAAAAACTCAGTTGCCCAACTTGTAAGAGTCTTTTTACCCAAGAAGAAATGGTTAAACATCGGTCTACATGTACAGAATCAAAGCTGTCCTGCACAACTTGTGGAGAAAAATTTGAGAGAAAGATTGACCTAAATAACCATATGGTTTGTCATCAAGTGGATCGTCCACATGCCTGCAGAACATGTGGTAATTTATTTCGTTCCAAGAGTAGTCTGAACGCTCACATGTTGCAAGCACATCAGGTTGAACGGCCATATAAGTGTACTGTCTGCGGATCTGATTTTTTGAGGCCTTCTAGTTTGTCCAATCATATGAAAATTCACTCATATGTTCCGGGACGAGGTATTGCGCAATCACAGAGAAATCTTATATCTCAGTCAGCAGAAACGTTTAGGAAATGGCCAGAGAATGCATCGGATTCACAGAATATATCACACACGACATCTTCATCTGTGCAAACTATTCATAATTATGATGTATGTCAAGTTCAATGGCCTACATCAACATACAATTTCCAGAATGAGCAATCAATAGTCACAACGATGTCAAATCAACAAGAAAAGATAGAAACATTACAGGAGTTTACAGTAATTCCCAACGATGAGATATCACAATTTGCTGAATACACTGACCAAAATAATATTAACAATTCAGTTAATACTACTCAACAGTACAATCTAACAATAAATTCATTTAATACTCCCGATGGTATAGTTAAAGTACAGTCCCTTATACAAAATAATACGAATAGAGATTTTAAAGAAACCGAAACAAACAATAGCAAACAATATATAAACACAAACACATGTAAACATTGTGGAGTCTACTTCGCACGTGTACAAGCATTGGTGTCACATGAGAAGACTCATAAAGAGTGGATCAATCCAGTTGAATGCCAGTACTGCGAAAGACAGTTTCAGGACGGGAATCATCTGGCTACTCATCAGACTACTTGCGCTAAGAAGATAATCCAAAACAAGGACAAAAACGGATCCAACAACAAATTAGCGTGCAAATTGATATGCAAACACGCTTGCTCGGAATGTGGAAAAAAATTTCCAACCAAACAGAAGATGTATCGTCACAAATGGATTCATCGAAAGAAAACTTACTCATGCGAAGTGTGCGGTTTGCAGTTTGAGAAGCAGAGCGAATTAGACGAACATCGGCTGTCGGCACATCCCGGAGATTCGCCATTTACTTGCACGGAATGTGGAAAAAGCTTTGTATCGCGACAAGGTCTTTGGGAACACGGTAGAACGCATGCCGGAAGCCCGGCGCATTTTCAGTGTGACACCTGTTCGAAGACATTTTCATCTCGCCAGGGATATTTAATACATAATCGTACGCACACCGGCGAACGACCGTACGGTTGCAAGTTTTGTTGGAAATCCTTCCGAGACGGCGGAACTCTACGGAAACACGAACGGATTCACACAGGTGAGAGACCTCACGTGTGTCCAATATGCACGAGAGCTTTTAATCAAAAGGTAGTTTTGCGCGAGCATGTTCGATGGGTTCACGCCGCAGGAAAAAATGAGACGGAAAAAAGCGATCCTCCGTATCCCTGTCCACTTTGCGGTGCTCTGAACCAAGACCGCGATGAGCTTTGTGCACACATCGTCAAGCATTCGGACCAAATGATTGCCGAAGCTAAAGCGAAAAACGTTAATATTTCTCCGAAGATAAAGCCAACGAAGAAAAAGGCAAAGACGTCCTCCTGTGGCATCGACGTACAGACGAAAGAAGACACGTTAGAGAATCTTATTTCGAAAACGGATCAAGCCAAAGCCATATTATCTATTACAGACACGTCTGATAATCCGGATGATTTGAACGTTATGAACGAAAAACAGAACAATGCCTTTGTTGTGGTTACCACGGATAAACGCAGCGACGGTTTTATATCGATATCCGAGCTCAAGCACAGCAACATAGAATTCATCGTAGAAAGCAAAGAAGACGAGAATATTCATGTACTTCAAATGGATAGAAATCCCAGAGATCCTTTAAATATAATTACCATGGGCAAGCAAAACAACACGGCGCACATCGTGTCAACGGTGTCCGTCGACAGCGCTCTCGATGAAACTATCAGGTCGAACAATATGTCCGCGATGCAGTTGATCCAGTCTTCTAAGCAGAACAACACTTTAAACATAATATCGAAGCAAAACGAAGCGTTACCCGTTTTAACAATTCCTAATCCTCAAAATCACGATAATTACTCCAGTCAGATCATACAAGTAAACACTACAAACATGCCTATAGATATAGTAACTCAAGATGAGGAAAATCATACCCAAAACGAACAAGACTCTTTAATACAAGAAGAAACATCTCATGTTATTCAAGTTGTACCTTATCAGGATGACAGTGATGGAGAGGACTTTATATGTGGAATATGTGCAGAAGGGTTTGATGATAAGGAGTCGTTAAAGACGCACATTAAGATTCATATATAATTTGTCATCACCACTTTGCTGTTCACGTGTATAATATTTACTAATATCGCTGTGTAGAAAGTATCAGATAAAAGTAATAGAAAGTAATAGAGTGTAAAATATACTTTCTAATCCTTTATCTCACTAATGACTTAAATCGCACAATATAATATAGTTCTATCTGTAATATTTGAATTTGGAGAAACAATAAACTTACTGTGTATATATAAAAAGATTAAGTGTATAGAATACAGACACATACATTCTATACATAAAGTTTATAGAAAGACATTTATTGCAAGATTGAATGTTTTGATATATTATGTGAATAGCAAAGTTTGTTAGAATTGAATAAAAAAAATACATATATTTTAATAAAGTACAAGCTACTTTCTCCGGAACTTAAAGATATCAGCGAAAGATCCAAGGCACTATGTATAATAATTATTAGTAATTGAATAGTATTGTTTAATAATGGAAAATAGGATCAGCATAAATATTTCGAAAAGAAGCAGATTACACATATACACATATACATAAAATCAAAATTACATTTTCATTCATATAAATAAAGATGATCACTTTGCTTACTTACAAATGTTTTTTTACATTTATTTTAGTCGTGAAGGAGATATCTTTATATAGCATATGATACTCTTTCTTTAAAGAAAAGCTACTTATACATATCGCGAAAAAATAAACAAATTATATTTTTTGCAATTGTGTTTGGGGTGTCTAGTTTTATGCACACATATCAGCTCGCATGTGTATAATACAATACTATAACATTCTAAAACAATAAGGCAATATATGTTACCAATAAAGTCACTTTAAGTATAGCGCATTCGTATAATAAGAAATTTATCTATATAAAAAAACCAAACAGAGAGCATGAAATATATATAAAACGTACTTTATTTTGCAAAATCATGAATCATGTATATTTGTATATCATACCTTAATACATTTCCATCGCGTTATGTAATAAATAGTTAGAAATGTTATTTTACTGATCACACAATAATACTAAATTCAATAATTTTTTATAGAGATAATTGTATAATATATGTAATTAATTTTTTTATGTAATATATATTATGTTTTTTATTTTTTAAAATCGTGATTTTACTTTGTGAGTATTTTTTTGTTCATTACATTTAAACGAACAGACAAATGTGTTCAAATTAACTGAATGGTTATATCGACCAATCGATTAATTATACAGTTGGTCAGAATGATATTCAGTGGACAGTGGCTGCGTTCTGATATTTAACACTGTCAGTACTGGAAATCTACAGCACGCGTCTGGTTCTTCCTGTTCGTCAAGCAAGGTGAGTAAATCAAACTAAGCGCCATTGCAACGTATATTTTGAAAACATAATTATAATTTATTACGTTTTATTGTATTACTGGTCGTCTCGTGTATTAATTGTATCTAACAAATTTGATAACTCGACACGTGACTATCATCGTGACTCAATTATCGAGAGAATAAACATCGTTAATATATAGTAAGACGCTAACCTCTAAATCGTACTTCTCGTTCGAGTTTGTCGCTTGTGCAGAGCGGTGGTTGCGGTTGTGCAGAAAAGTGCATTTGCATTGAAGCACGTCTGCGGTTGACGCAAAACACATTTTTTATCGTCAGCTTTAACAAACTAAGCAGCATTTATAAAGTTGGCGAGAATCGCAAACTGCTGCTAAATTATTTTCCACGTGTAACTTAACCTAACCTAACCTAACCTAAAACCACGCATCATTTATTGAGATTATATTTGTCTACACTGACATTCGATGAAGTAGAACTCTTTGATAGTGTAAACGTGTCGAAGCTCTCGCAAGTGATAATCAGTAATTACTGCGGAAACATCATTTATATGCAAAGATGCCTACTTGGAACCAGATCCAAGCTCAGCTGCGAAATCCAAACAACCCGGTCGTGTTTTTTGACGTCTCTGTGGGTACTACTGAGATCGGCCGTATGATTTTCGAGCTATTCGAGGACGTCTGTCCCAAAACATCCGAGAATTTCCGACAATTCTGCACCGGTGAATATAGGAAGGACGGAGTACCACTTGGCTTCAAAGGTGCCATTTTCCACAGAGTGATTAAGGATTTTATGATACAAGGCGGTGATTTTGTCAACGGTGATGGAACAGGAGTATTGAGTATCTACAGTGGTGGAACATTTCCAGATGAGAATTTCTTGCTCAAGCATGATTCACCAGGGTTGTTATCTATGGCTAACAGTGGCAAGGATACTAATGGCTGTCAATTCTTCATCACATGTGCCAAATGCAACTTCTTAGATGGCAAACACGTTGTCTTTGGCAGAGTAATTGATGGTCTTCTTGTTATGAGGAAAGTAGAGAATGTTCCTACTGGTCCAAACAATAAGCCAAAAATTCCAGTAACAATATCTCAGTGTGGACAAATGTAATAGTGGTATTAATTTATTTGAACATTGATAAACTTAAAATTCTACATAATTGTATTTTTTATCTCTATTTGTTCAAGAAAACTTTTGTGAAATAAAACATTTTTGTAATATACACATGTTTTTACTTAAAAGTAAGAAGAAACACGGAATTTGGTATGAATTTTGAGTTTATTTTAACATTTTTACATATGAAATAAATACTTTTATAATCATTCTATATACGATGTTTGTAATCGGATTTGTTTGATATTACAAATTGATGTTTACAAATCAGCTATATCCATGTAAAATGTACATATACATCTATATGCTAGTATCAACATCGACCTGAAAAGACTCAAACTGTAAAATTACCATAAATGTATTTGTTTCTGCAAATATTATAATTTTTGCACTTATTTCTTATTACAAGAATTATCTATATCTACTTTATACTGAAATTTACTTTATTTTATTGGTCGATGAGATATCAGTTATAGAAAAATTGTCCAATTAGAATTATGTGAATTAACACATTGACCTTGTTTTCACACTTCTCTGAATTCTAAACAAAAATAGTTTTTTTTTCTATATAGAATTTCAATGCTAGCACAATACTTTTTAATTGTAAACTTAATTTCGGGAATATTTTTCTTACGTAAATTACTAGATATCACATCATTTAACATGACTTAAATTTCAATCGATAATATATTAAGCAATATATTTCAATTAGTTTTTCCAGTTCTTTTTTCAAATTGAGATCAAATAGAAAACCTTATGTCACATATCCAAAACTTAAGTACTCTCTAAATATATAAGTAATTAACACGCATTAACGCATCTCTCTTCGTAATTTTAATTATAGGATCAACAAAAATACAATTTTTAATGGTATACTTCAGGATCAGCATAGTCACATTTGCTGGTAATTCACGCGCGTAAATCTACATCGATACACACACTCTCTCTTAATTAGTATTTTGTATAAAACTATTAGAGTCCGTGCGTACATCGGCAGTCATTATCACGTAAAGTATTACATATGTACATATTTTGATTCATTTTTCTCTATCGCCTATACAGACATGTATATATCAAAATAAATCACGACTACGTCAATTATTATACGCGCAGTCGCCTCTAAACCCATTTTAGACCATCTACGATCCATCATAAATTACAAACTGTTGAAAATACTCTAAGAGATCATACACTTTACCACAAAGCTTCGGCTTCGCATTGCGCGCGCTATTAACGCACAATTTGTTGCCATGAGTCACTCGAAAAAAATATACAACTGATTCATCTTACATAACGATCATCTTGGCTGAAAACGCTCAAATTTGATCGGAGACGAATGACTTGGCTAAATACTCACGTGATGTCGTCAATAACAGACGGTCGTTATCGACAAAACGCGACTTCGGGAAAAAGTAAGTGGTAACGACAACGGGCCATCAAAAATTCCGGATCACACGGCTGTGTAACGGGGACCCTTTTTACTGTCATCTGCGTCGTCCCGAGTCGGCGCCGGCGATCGTCACCGACATCGTCACAACCTGAAACATTTCTCCGATTATTAACAGCGATAAAAGAAACTACTTTGTAGAAATTTAAAACTCAAAAAGATCAAATACCTGCTGTTGCAGAAGCGATCGTCATCGATGGTATCGACCTGCGTGTTGTCATCGACGACCATGATGGGCGTCGCGCCGTCATGCAGGCTGGATTTCGAGATAGATCTCTTGTAGACGTCTCTGGTGACGCTTCTGGTGAAGCTGAATTTCCGAACAAGTTTCTTGTCCAAAGCGGCCGGACTCTTTGGGCCCTTCGCTCTGTATTCTTCTTCCGTGCCCTCGTAGTGAGCCAGCATCACTTCTGTAGCATGTTCTCCGATGACGCTGATAGCGTAATCAATGTCCTCTTCAGTCGCGTCCTCCTTTGTCACGCAAAAACGCAGAATATATTCGCCCATCACGCGTGCCGGTATCATATGCATCCGACCGGACGCGTTGATGTTAGCCAATAGCTCTTGATTCATCTCCTCGCTCTCCTTCAAACGGAAGCACACCAAGCCAACTCGCACATCGTTCAAGATCTCAAACCGCCTGTCCTTTTTCATTAGCGCCTCAAACCGCTTCGCCAGCCTGATGTGATTTCTGATGTACTTCTGTAAGCCACTGATACCGTACGATCGCATGACGAACCACAGCTTCAACGCTCGAAATCGTCTGCTGAGCGGAATACCCCAGTGACGATAGTCAATTGACTCGCCTGAGCGCGCGTGCTGAAGATAAAGCGGATCGACGATCAACGCGGACGTGAGCTTTAATCGATTGCGCACCCACAAGCAGGAACAGTCGAAGTTTACCAGCAACCACTTGTTGGGATTTGTGTTGAAAGAATCTGCGTGCTCGATGCCGGCCATGAACGGCCTCATCTCCGGACAAATAAACGCATTACCGGCGTAAGCGCCGTCTACGTGCAGCCAGATATTGGGATACAGTTTGCACACGGGCCCGATCTCCACGAGATTGTCGAATGCGCAGGAGCCGGTGGTGCCCAAAGTGGTGGAAACGTAAAACGGTACCAGACCGTTTGCCACGTCCTCCTTTATAGCCGACTCGAGTCGTTTTCCACGCAACGCAGCTTTGTCGTCTGGCTCGAGTACTCGTAGCTTCACTAAACTGATCATCGCCGCCTTTTCCACGCACGAATGCGATTCAGTCGAGCAGTAGGCCACCAAACGCGGCAGAAACGCCGAGTCCTCCTTGTTCGGCTCCTGCTCTTTCAACATCTTGATCGCCTGCGTGCGCGCCGCGAGCATCGTCACCAGGATACACTCGGAGGCTGAACCTTGGATCACGCCGCCGCCGCTTTTCTGCTCCGACAGGAACTCGGACGGCAAGTCGATCGCCTTGGCGTACCAGTCCAGCACGATGGTCTCAAGCTCCGTGCAGGCCGGACTGGCCGCCCATGAGAAACCGATGCAGCCGATCGCGTCCGACAGCAGATCACCCAGGATTGAGGGGAACGAATTGCCAGACGGGAAGTAAGCGTGAAATCGCGGATGCTGCCAGTGAGTGATCTGTGAAAAAGCATTGCTCACTCGTTTACACCCGCGAGTCGAGTAACCTACTTTTATGTTCTGAAATTGATTTATCCGCGGCTAGAATAGGACGCGGAATGAACAGCGGAAGTGCCGGTTGACGGTCGCCGACTTCATTGTCACCGCGATAACGGCGCTGCATTGGATTTAAGAAGAAACTTCGCGCGATGAAAAAAAAAAAAAGTCGCGCGTCATCATTTTCTCGAAAATAAACAGACTCCCTGAAGGAAATGGAATTCGGAACATGACGTTCTCGTCGTCCTTCAATTTTTTCAATCGACTGACTGCTCGGCTACTTGTATACCCCCCATGCCGGTTAAAATTATTTTTGACTATTTTCTGCCACATTTAACAATTTACATACATTACGTTTTTATGCTAATCGTTTAATTTCGAATTTTGTGAACATCACATTAGAATTAACGTTTAGAAGATGCTTTTTTATTATTAGTTGAGAAGTTATCATACTTTTATCAAGTTTACATAACATACACGTTGCATCACAAACGTTTTACGTCACGGCGGTCGGGCCGACCTTAACTTCTCTACAGATTTCTCAAAGGGCACATATATGTCCGAGAGAACTTGACGCGTGTAGCGCGAAAAATATATCCGATGTATATGTCGCGCGAATATCACGCGATTCTTCAAAACCGCTAAGAGGAAATGGCAGAATGACAGGTTTTTATCTGTTTTTTTCTCTCTCTCTCTTTCATGTGCACTAACATTATTTATATCGAAAAGGGGGTTGAAATCAATGAAAGAGGGAGAGAGAAAGAAGGGGGATCGATAATCGCGGTAAGTCGCTACAATCGCCGGCAAACGACTCACTCCGGGCATTATTTTGCCATCGACGTCCCTCATGATGGCGTCCCATGATTCCGGCTTGACAGGCGCCTCCTTCGGCAATAAAGGTCTCAGATAGCCGGGATCGACGTTCGCCGTTACCCGTTTTCCCTCCAACGTACGTATGTATTCGCAGATGTACTCGATCATCTCCTTGCCGTGGATACGGAACTCATCGATATTCATGATGCCGGAATGCTCCTGACTAGAAATACAGACATATTTTGCGAAGGAATATCAAAATATGTATTTGATTAGGAAAACCTGGAGAATGAGAGGAGCACACACGCATACGTGAGATTGATTCTTTTTTAACCGCACACATTGATGCGTCGTTGTATCCTCTTATATTTTTTTCTTTGAAAATTAAGTTTTACTGATCCTTTTTGCACTAAAAAACATCAGTTTTTTCTGACGTTTTTCCAAGGATTTTCTTCGCGGCATATTAATTCTTTCAAGCAAAAGAAAACGCACAATGACGGAAAATGCATCTAATAATAGTCCGTGAAAGTACTATGAAAGCAATAACGCGTGCTACATTAATTACGCACGATGTTGCGGAAACACGAAGATCCGAGCGCGAACAGTAGTATATTAATCCTGTTAACTTTATATTTATGACATCTAATACAGGAATCCACTTTAGATTCCACAATGAATTCAATACGTAAAGATTTCTTCATTGACTACACCGCACATATATTTATTGTGATTGATTTTCACTATGTCCATTACTTTTCAGTTTTTATTGAATAAAACTTCTGAAACGCAATTTTTAAAGACGTAACAGAGCGTGTCGAATTCAGTTACGAAAAAAAAAGAATGTAAGTATTTTCTTAGATTTGTTTTTGTTAATTCTTGAAAAATCGCAAACCTTCAGTAGAAGACGCGCTCTTTATCCAATTTTAATTAAACAACAAAACAAAACAAAAAGAAAAAGTGCGATTTTGAAAGAGACGTAACTTTTTTTTATATAGGAGAGCCGAGGCTACGATTGGCAAACAACGATGTCGTTTTGAGCGAGTATACTCACGTTTTATTTCCGCTACCGTTCGGAAAATCGCTCCACTTTGACAAAAAATCGGTCCTCTCGATCGCAACAACCTTTCCTCACGTATGCCCGTTCTCGAGTGTCGCGCGATTGTTCCTCGCACGTATCGAACATTTGTCGCGAACCACGTCAGACGAGAGACTAGTAGCACCTGCCGAAGCGCCGGTCAGTTTTATGCGCGCCTCGGCTCCGCACGTCCCTGCTATTCTACGCAGATAAAATTAGGCTGGAGAGAAAATATAAGGAGACTAGATAAAAGAGCAATAAAATTTATTTTTCTAATAAAGAAGATTACGAGAGAGGTGGTGATTCCCTGTTGAAAAGATACGGTCTCGTGATATTCTCGATCGTCACGCTGATTCCCGATGAGATAGAGAAGCTAGTGCTAACAACAAACTTACGGCACACACTTGACGATTATTAATAATTAAACAAAGACATTTTTGCTAGAAACTAGAGACTTGTGTTGATGTTCAATCGACCTTGTGATAGTGTCACACTGTTTCTATTTTATTCTACATATAGATTGATTCTCTTCTTCAACACGATATTTTCTCAATTGATCATTACGAGTACAATAATTGCTCGAAAAAAATTACTTACGAATTGCACAAAAATTTGAAAGCTGGTGTAAACCAGTATCAATGGCTGTTGGCGTCGCCTATAGCGAGGCCGCTGTTTGAATAAATGTCCCATACAGTGTGCCACGTTTCGCACATGGGGGTAAGTTTTTCCCCACCAATCCCTTGCTACTAACCCTCTTTGTTTCCTCTCTCTCCTCCCGGTTTTATAAATAGACATTTACTCTTCACCTACATTTACAACACACCCCGTGGAAGCGGTGACAGGTCACCGCTCAATCTTCGTAACACATACACACACCGATTGCTGCTCGTTTACTGGTCGCCACCTTCACGCATGATCTACTCGCATCCGCCGTTTTTCGAATTGAATCCTCTCTCCCGTGATCCCGGTAGAGCTTCGCTGCTCGTGAACGCGTGAGGAGTAATTAAATCGGGTTTCCGCTGGTCAATGATTATTTTCTTTCTCAAGCTACATTATAATGGCAATTTCGACAAAATTAACAAACCCGAAACTTGGCGGTAACACGTATAATGTCACAGACATTTGCTCGACAGATCTCGGGTGTTTGACGATTTTATACGACTAGCTTGATTTGTTTTTCAAATTTTTAAAGAGCGTTTTAAGTGTTACATGATTTAAATCGTTATATATTAGAATTTGTATAATTTTAGAACAAAGAAAGAGAATTACTACATATGTTCTCATAAATTATTCTTCCTAACAAAGATAGTTTCAAGTACAGTGTTGCGCTTAGATAATTTGAAATAATCTAGATACAGATTAGATAAAACATATACGTATGTATCTCAGATAAGATAAAGATAATCCGATTTGATCATATCTAGATAAAAGATGATTTAGTTGAGATTTTTATCTAGATAATTTTAAGATATTAAAGAAGTTGGAAAATTAAATAATACATCTCAAGAAAATCTATAGAAAATAAGCGTATATTTTGATATACATTATATTTAATATAATGTACATTTGAGTATAATAAGCATATTATAAGTATGTAATAAGTAAATTACATTTATTCTATATATAAGGTTAATGTCCAGATAACCAAGACTGAGTGATCATATTTTGCAAAGTCTGCAATAACACATTATGCCAGTACAATGTAGCCAGCATTCAAACATAATCTGTTATTTCAACTAGTGTCGACAGAAAAACAGAAAAAAAAA